AAAAAAAAAAAAGGTGACATAAGAATGAAATTTTTATTTTATATTATTTTATTTTGTTTTGTTGAGAATATATGAAAGAACATCAATAGGTTTAAAATTACATGAAAATAAATACTAGAAACGCTTGATATTAAAATCGTATTTTTTTTATATATATATATCTTATATTACGTACGGACTAATTAATTTTCACATAGAATTGTAGCTTTCAAGTAGAAACCCAATTGAAATTAAGTAACAAGCCACTTGTAGAAATTTCCAGGAGTCAAATCAAGGTTTTGCATTCTGGGCCTTTTTCTTCATTATAGTTAGCCTGACAAGACATTGGGCCATGAGCCCATTAAATGAATCTATTTTCCATGTAGCGGTCAGAGTATGCCCGAATGTGTTGAAATAGACAGTCGGAACCGATGTCATCTTTCGGAATTTGACGGGACAAAGCGTCTCGATGTAGTTGAACATATGACTCGGAGAATTTAAAACTTTCCAAAAATTAAACTGAAAAATAAACGTGATAGCATGACTTTTTCTGACTTAACTGAAAATAATTAGTACGGTTCTACAGATTACACAAATATCTTTATCGAAAACCGAATTGAACAATCTTATACACTACCAAACTGAAATTAAGATCGAATTTTAATATTAGATGTGTGTTGTTCACATATTTATGTCAAAGTAACTATTTAGCTACGTGTATTTTTAAAATACTAAATAAAATATAGTAATAACTTTATTTTAAATTTTATGCTTAGTAATATAGACTTGAACTATAATTAATAGACTTGAACTATAATTGATTTCATTTTCTGTTTTAAAAGATTATTTATATTATATTTTTTCTTACAAAATTTAACCTTATTCTATATTACAAAATGGTATGAAAGATCACATAATATATACATATATATATATATATATTATATTTTTTAAAATTTATATTTTTGTTACCAGTTCCAAATTTTATTCTTAACTAAAATTTTGAGTTACTTCTAAAATTAGTTTTAAAATAAATCTTTAAAACAACGAAATATTGTTGAATGTTAAATTTAATTTTATTTTTCTAAAAGCTATGAAATTTAAATATAACTAGATTGTCATTCAAAATTTAAAAAATATAAAATATTCGGAGTTCCAAACCGAATAAAAACAAACCGAACAATTCCAATAGTTCTGAGTATCGAACCGAAAAATAATACCGTCCCAATTTCTTACACAGTTCCAGAGATTGGATTTTTTTATACTAATTGACTGCCTTTTTTAATCCAAATACTATTGTAGACATCTAGCTAGATAATTTAAAAATCCAATTCAAATATGCAGCGGGACAATATGGATGCAAAATCATAATCTAATTTTCACAATATAACATAACATAAAACATCAAACGTTATTTATTATTAGTAAAGAAAGCCGAGAGACTTGACCATTAAATAGGTCTCATCTGCGTACATTCTACAACGTTTAACTATAGCTCTTTCGCTACACCACTCATCAGAATACCTCCAAGGGTGATTACACACATATAGTAATTAATTTTATTCATACTAAACGAGAGCCACCGTTAAAAGTTGACATTCGATGTGTAGGTTGTGAAGCCATAGTCGGCCGGAATAACATTTTCGGCCACCACGGTTTTTGAAGAGTCAGTCAACTTGAAGGAAAACGGCGGCGAAATCCCGTTGAGGTTAGCCTTCCACACAGCACCCCAAGACAAAGTCATCGGGATCCAATCACCATTCGTGTTGGACTTCCTCACGGCGACATCTGTCAACCCGTCCCCATCTTCGTATTCGATGGCCACCGCAAGATAGTTCGCGTTGGAGCCCGGGTCAACCCGGAATGCCACATTTGTGCCCGGAAAATTGCATGGAACCCTAGTAAATTGTCAAAATTAAACTCGTAATTCAGATATATATTGAGTAATATTAACGTATAATAACAATTTTTTTCATTGTAATGATATTAAGAAAATATAGTCAGGATCTTTGTATGCAAAATTTCGGGGTTATTATCAAAATTAGGCCGAATTCGACGGTTAAATTGCAAAATATAATCAGTATCTTTTACGCGATGGCAATAATAGCCGTCGAATTTGGTAGAAATTTTCAAAAGTTGTTTGCTACTATTACCAATCGTAAAGAGGATGGCTATTATCGCCATCGATACTGGCTATATTTTGCAATTAAACCTTAAGTACTAGTATATAATAACAATGTCATGCTATTGTAAAGATAATATATGAATGAATTTTTACGATTTATATTGAACGTCGATGATTCCTCTGTCTTGAAGTTGTTGTTCTTGTCCGGGAATAGCCATTTGTCGAAAGGAAGTGCCGCTTAAATCGAACAAGTGACTATCACCACAACCATAGCACGCATCTGTTATTACCACCGTCACCGGTGTACCCGAACAATGCTCCGAAGTGCATTGTACCTATATATGGGAAACAAAAGAAAAAAATGGAAATTAACAAAAAGTACTATTCATAAAAGAAAGAAAGAAAAACGAGCGTAGTTCAAATTGGTAAAATAATTATTTTGATTACCTGGTAACATAGGCCGCAACCATTGCCATCTTTGTAGAGAGGACTCGCAGCTGCGGTTATTAGGGAAGAAAACGGAGGCTTCTCGACTGCGGTTTCATATCCGCACGAACCACCTTAAATAATTAATCGTTTCGAAAAAAAAAAATATTATGTGCTTGTCTTCAAAATCTTTGAATAGTGTAATTCAAAAAGTTTGAAACATATATAATTAACTATATTGTGGTAGGAATATGATGCATGGTGTTTCTTACTTTAAAGGGACAAAGGGATTCGATTATATTTAGTTACTTAAACATGCTAGAGCGAATATTTCCCACACTAAGAAAAATAGATAAAAGATGATGGTACAAACTAATTAATTAATGAGCTTGAAGACGAGTTAACAATCGGTTAATATAAACGCACAATTCATGATTGATTTTCGTGCATGAGTTATTTATATTACCGTCGCTTCCAGCACCCGTCTTCTCTCCATACCAAGTTGCTTGGGTAGTTCCCCATCCCCCCGAACCTGAGCTCGGGGGCGAACCGTAACTCGGGGTCGAACCATTACTCGGGGACGGAGGTGGGGTCGAACCGTAACTCGGGGATGGCGGAGGGGTCGAACCGTAACTCGGGGATGGCGGAGGGGTCGAACCGTAACTCGGGGATGGAGGTGGGTTCGAATCGTAACTCGGGGATGGTGGCGAACCCGAACCATATCCAGGGTTCGAACCGTAACTTGGAGGTGGTGGCGATCCCGAACCATACCCGGGCGTCGCACCGTAACTCGAAGGTGGTGGCAAACCTGATCCCGAACCATAACTCGCGGGTGGACCATAAGTCGGGGGAGTACCTGAACCTGAACCTGAACTGGGACCATCATTCGGGGGCGAGCCATAAGTTGGGGGAGTACCCGAGCCAAAGGGTGAACCCCAGCCCCAGCCCCAATCTTTGGAATCTTTAGGATTGAAGCTGTGGCATGAGTTGAATAATAAGAGGGAAAAGAAGGCCAACCAAGTGATCAAATGAGAGTAGTAAGCCATTTTTGATGAGGGAATATATTTTAAGAGTGAAAATGAGCTAATTAATTAAGTAATTGTGAGTACTTGGGATGATGATTAATTTGTGCATCAATGAACCCTATTTATAGATCCACTTAATTAGTTGATTAACTGCGTGCATTAAGGACTGATTTACGATAAAGAGTTTAAGATTAGAGGCAAATACTTTATTTCATCAAATTGCTAATTAATTAGAATTTTCAAAATGTTATGAGCTCTTTTTTTTATGGGTCTATCTAGGTTTAAACTTTAACTTCTTTTATTATTAATTGACTATGTTCATCTTTTTGTGCCTATAGTAATATAGTATATCTTTATTGCGAATCGGTTAGCTTATGAATTTTGTATAACTTTAATAAGTACTCTTATTTTAACTCCATTTGATGAGGCTGAGTAGCAGAACATTAATCTTTCAAGATCATTGATTAAGGATGTGATATTTAATTTCCACAAATTAATTGCCAATATTCATGTACTATTTTTTTCCTTAGTAAAAGTGGATCATTTACTAGTAAAAATACTGTTGTTAGGTTAGTCCAATGTTTAGCTATTTATTTTTATTAAAAATATATGACAAATCAACTTGTTTAATGGTTGGACCATTTCATGTGTGATATAGATCTGGCGAAAAAACATGCTTCGTAGTTTAGTTTGGATAAAAAATAACATTATTTTGAATAATAATTACAGGTTCGGACATTCCAAAAATATTGAAAAATTAACTTGGTAATTCCATAATAGTTTAACTAATATAACCCTTATGTTGTATGAGAACATTTTGGTAATTACACTGATTGACTAATATAACCTTGATTTATTTTGAAATCTCTCAATCGGCTCATTAATTTTCATAAAAATCTCAAAAATTAGCCTAATAAATACGTATATCTAATTTGAAACAATTATTGTTATTATTATTTAATTTTAAAAATAATTTTCATAAACAATTACAGTATTGTACTAGTATCAATCAAAATATTATTACTGCTATACTTCTTCAAGGCATTGCAATTTTTGGTGTTATTGAGAGGAGACACGTGTATGAGAAGCCGCAACTAAAATTGCCGTTAATGTTGGTTAAAGTTACAGTTTTGAAAATCTTGCAAATTAGCCACGTGTCTGTCGCTTTCAAACTGTAAAAGTAAAACCATGGACATGAAGCGTGAATTTAGGGACAATATTTTCAACATGGGCGCCACTCTCTATCCATTCGCATGCATGTGATTTTTTTTTACTGTTTGTGATAATTTACATGAATAATCCCCATTGTTTCCCCTAATTACAAATCATACATGTTAATGCCATCGAATAATTGGCCCATAAAATGAAATTTGTCTTTATAACGGAAAATGTTACTGTCCCGTTACGGAATCATTCTGTCAAGATTTATAACCGTTAGATCATCATGTAACCGTCGGGATAGTTGATCTAGCGATTACAAACTCCGACGGAATGATTCCGTAACGGGACCGTAGTGTCTCCCCTTTATAACTATTGTTATTGTAATTTGTACATATATAAGCATTTATTTTTTTTTTATTTTTTTTGTCTGGAAATAGATGTTTCGGGAATCGGATAAAGTTGACAAACTCCTTCATCCACAGATAAATTAATATTCCCACCAAATAAGTAGATTATATACAAACTTATATATACTACTAGAAATTATTTTCTTTTTCTCTCTATTTTGATATTCAGATCTACTAACTAACGTGGGAAAAAAAAAAAAAAAAAGCATGAATTTAGAGCAAAGAAGGTCAAACGCTAAATTTACGGGGCTGTCACGACATGAGCGTGCAAATAGGTCTAAAGTTACTAATACGTGAAAAATATGATACTTTATTGTCTGCCTCACTTCGTTTTCCACGATCCCCAATTGATTCTAGACGTGTTCACGGGCCGAACCGTCCTCTTAAGGGCCGGTTCTTTGAACCGGACCCGTAGGATTGCGGTTCGGTCCCCGTTCATAAACTTTTAGTTTTTGACCCACCGGGCCGGGGAGGGTCGCGGGCAGCATTGGTTTTCTTTTTTTTTTTAAGGGCCGTGAACTGTCCGAGACCCGCCAGGCCGGTGAACCGACGGTTCCGGGCCGATTCTATGAACCGGCCCATAGGTTTTTTTGGGCCGGTCATGGGCCATAACATTGAGGCCCGCCGACCCGGCAGTTGGTCACCTCTAATTGATTCATTTAATTTCCTTTTCTTATATGTATCAATCAAACAACTAAAATGAGTCAAAATTTGTTAATGCAATGCGTTGCTAGTTGGGATTCTAGGCGATTAGTTTACTTGCGAGTTTTTATTCTAGCGTTGTGTTGGGATCAATAACACGTTGTTGGTCAGGATTTTAGGCGGTCTTCTGACTTGTCCTCCCACTTTTCAGCTATCGGCTGTTTCATTCAGCTTGAAACTGCTTGTATTTGCACATTTGTGCGCTTTTAATTTATAAACTATTGTTTTGAAAAAAAATAAAAAATCCATTCTTTGATATTCACTAGTTCAGATAGTGTGCAAATAAAAGCTAATCAATTTTGCGTAAATGGAAAGAATGTTTTCTCTTAATTAATTATCTAGTTTAATTATTAATTTAGCATCTAATTAGTTAATAAAATAAACATAAAAAGCAATCAAAAAACCATGAAGTCAAATCAATTAATCAGTTCATATTCGCTTATACAGTCAACGATAAAAAAGGCCTATACAACCAATCAAGTAAAACAATAACTGTTTATATATGACAATTGACAAGACGAGAGCACACAAAATGGGCATTTTTATATTCAGCTGAAAATTTTGTTCGATAAACTAAAAAACAATCAAGCGCAAAGAAGTTTAAACAAGTTGAGACGAGCTCGAGTTCATTTAGTATTGGAGCTCGTTTAGCAGTTTTAATCATATATTCTATTATATGTATATAATTTATACTGTTTTAATACTTTAAATTGCATGTATGTATCTTATTTTCTAGAACTAGCAAATGGAAGACCTGTTATTCATCCATAAATTAAATAAGTCACGACTTATGTCAAAATATTTGATTTTTGTTATTATTATTTTAAGATAATTATACTGCAATAAAGATGACTAATTGACTTAGATGTGAAAACCCGCAATTAACACAGCCGTTAATATTGGTTATTTACCATTAACTGTTCGTTGATGGCCGTTAATAGTTTCAAATTCTTGCTAACCGACTAAATGGCTGACGCTCGTCAACCGACATAATGTTTTTGTAATTTAGTGACACAAAAATAAATAAACTCTTCTTAATTAGAAATCAATAAGAATCTAGTTAGTTCGTATGTAAAGAGATCACACTACAAGAAAATAATAAATTTCAATCAAATTTTCTAACGAAAATATAAATTAATAGAATTTATACGCAATTTTAATGGATATTAAAATACTATTATTTTCAATGGAATATTTAAATGAACTCCAACGAAAATTTCAATAAAAAGAATGAGTTTTTTATTAGATTTTGACGATTCCAACGATTGAAATATGTGTGGAAGTAACTTTTTTTACGAAAAATCTTACGCTAAAAAAAAAGCTGAAAAAAATATTTTTTGGAATCATCATGTTTCATTTAACATTCCAAAGAAAAACTTGTTCCAATTAAATAGTTTCGTTGGAAAATGAATTGTAAGCTGGAATCATTCCAGTGGACCTTTTGAATCATTTAAACGAAGCTACAACATTAGAAAATATCCGTTGAAATTTTCACTGCTATGTATTATAGTAGGATTTTCTATTGTAATATGACACTTTTCGTAGTGAGAAATTAAAATATCGGGTTTGGTTGAATGAGAACGAGCTAGATTAAATTCTAGTCATTCAAATGATATATAATTGTGTATTTATGCAATTTTAGGTGTACATTAAAATTATTGATAATTAATTGAACAATAAATATTTTAAATAGTGAAGCAAAGCTTGAGTTTTCCATCATTGTCATTGTAAGAAATCACTGGTATACTTCTAAACATAATTTACAATTATTTATGAAATTATGTGTTTAGAGTTTAAGGCACTCAACTTGTGTTAGAACACGGATTAGAATAACAAGTGTTGCAACACCAGAAAAGTTAAAATAGCGGAAGCACACAAAATATAAAAACGCTTCGGGGAGCATCACTACCCATCAGAGCTCTTTCATGATAACTCGATAACTCGATTGTACACACGTGTATAGTTTTGGACTTACAACTACTTGAACTCCCTTCTAGCCTAGCCACTACTATACTCGAATCTACCAACTACTTCTCCGACCACGTCCCGTGGACTTTAATTACTCGAATCCTCGAGCAAAAGTTGTACTTAATCCCTAAGTACTAATTACGGAAGTGTTTCAATGAAAAACAAAAAGAATCAAAACAAAGAACTTCAATTTTTCGATAACATAAGAACACTGAAAACTAAACAGCGAAAATAAAACACAAAAGCTTGAAGCTCGAATGTTGTATGGAAGATAATAATGTCAGCAACCTTCTTCGATCTTCAAGCAGGGTATTTATACAACTTCTTAGGCGTGAGCTTCTTCTACAAGTTCTTTCCTCCTTGTATGATCTTCTTTCCAAAATTGCGGGTCTCATGATAGAAAGTATATATCCTTTTTGATATCGCCCCAATGCATTCTTCCATCCTACCATGCATGTTAATATCCCATAAAATATATAGCCATAATAAGATCATGCAAATATAATATATATACATAAATACAAATTGAATATATATTAATTATAGAAAAATAATGTAAATTATTCTAAAAATGTTTGAGCGTTTTGACAAATGTATAGTAAATTAGTAATGTAAATAGGAGTGACAGTTTAATGGAAACGAACAAAGAGAATAATAAGTATTTAATTTCAGGCAAAAATTCAATTTTAGTCTGCTAATTTGTCCATTGTCCATTTTGGTACACTAACTTGTTCCTCATTAAAAAAAGTTCATTATGTTACACTTTTCATCAGTTTTAGTATGCTAATCCCGTGACCCGGGATTACGAGATGCCAAATCAGTTTTTATCCTACCACGTCAACATCTTATCCCTCCACGTAGTTCCAATCCCAGTCCACGTCATCTTGTAATCCCGCCAATTGGACTAGTGTACTAAATCTGATGAAAAATATAACATAATGGACCATTTCTGATGAGGGAAAAGTTAGCGGACCAAAAGTGGACAATGGACAAGTTAGCGGACAAAAATTGAATTTTTGCCTTTAATTTCACAACCTTTTATTACCGCTCGTTTATAAGTCGTTCGATCCTCATCATTTCAAATTCCTTTGTTCTGTTTTCAATTACACTAAATTTATGGGTACGTAATTTTTATTGATAATAACTTTGAAATAGACTCGCCGGCCAGGCACGGATCCGTCAAACCTGTTGACAACGTGTTCGGGCCGGGCTCGCATTTCAACTGGGCCAGGTTCGATCAAGCACGAGAAAACGCATTGTTTTTTTATTTTTTTCCTTTTTTTTTAATACTCGAGCTGGGCCATAAGCTCGGCACGACCTCTGTGCCAGTTCTAGTCTATGAAACACAACTCGTGTTTTGGCCGTCTAGTTTAAAATGGTTTAATTTAATATGTTTTGAGTAAGGATAAGAACGGTTCTTTTCTTTTTTATAATATTTAGAAAGAATGTAATTTAAAAAAGAAATAAAGTAAACCCTATAGATGAAAATTGATACTATGGAACATAGAGTTTTTAACGTCAAATTTCTATTTCTAGAGACAAAAATGCGGTCAATACGGAGTTACTGACGGCAGTTATTAGAATATGTCAACAAGTTCTAAATAGTAACTTCTTCTTGTGTCTAGATGCTTTCTTTTTTTTTTTTTCTTTCCAAAAACGATACATAATATTATAAATCAAAATGCACAAATGTGAGAATGCACAATAGCCAACGGCTGAATACACAGCAGTAAACAGCTAAAAAAAGTGGGAGGACATGTCAGAAGATCGCTTAGAATCCCGGCTAGCAACGCTAGAATAAAAAACACTCACAACTAAACTGACCAACTATACAAACAAGAACTAAAAAGCTCTCAATAAGAGAATGCCCGAGTGTAGGATCCAAACAGGATAATAAGTTTTATACCCGGACTCACAGAGGCCAAATGGTCCAAACCAAAAAAACAAGACACAAGACCAAACACTAACACAAGCTCGAACCAACAAAACAAAAAGACAAAATAAAATAACTATGTAGAGTATGGCCTTCCCCAGTTGTTTAGTAAATATTTGGTGGGCAAGGGATAACCGAGTTACCCGACTCGGGTCGATATCGAGGGAAGGCTATTCGGAGCTTTATCTACTAATTGATTGTCCAAATCACAAAAAGATCAAATAAAGTCCTAAACATTCTAATCACTTTGGGTTGAGATGATTATCACTAAACGAGCACTAGAAAACGAGCAATTAACTAAGAGCAAGATCAAATCACGAGAAAGTAGCAAGCTAGATCATCGGAGTTTCATGCCATAACCATAACGGGATGATAATCAATCAACATAAGGAATAAACGAGCTATGAGCATTAGATTGCTAACCCTAGTCGTCTAACCCTAAGTGATTAAGCCCTAATTGGGTCTTAATCCTTAAACGAGATCAACAAGCAATTAACTCCTCTATCTACTCAAGCAAGCAATCAAGTCTCGACTTTGCAACCATCATCAATCAAATCCAAATTTACCCTAATAAACATTATAAGTAAAAACGGAGCAAAAACCGAAGTGAAGAGCTTTAAAACTAAATACTCATCCTTCCATTGCGTAGACGATGAAAAACGGAGTCAAAAGCTCGAAACTTGAAAGAAACCAAAGTCGCCGGAAAATCTCCCGGAAAATAGCATAAGCTCCTAATCTAGAGAGCAAAATTAAACATAAGCTAGTTCCCAAAAAGGGAAAAATGAAATAATGAGTAGTGGATCCTCAAAAACAAAAAAAAAAAACATATATAGTGTATCTCCAAAAACACACACTAGGTGCACACACATTTAATGATTCAGCAGTTCGCAGGTAGCCAAAATGGGTTCGCAGCGATTGTGCACATGAAAATCAACTAGAAATGGCATTTCGCAGCTTGCCAAAAGGAGTTCGCTGCGAGTGTGGCTTGGGTGCCCCGGATGTGAGGTTGGCGCGGCGCGAATGAAGTTTCGCAGCGAGTGCTAGCTATTGGTGGTGCATGGGCGCGTTTCGCAGCACGCGAAGATGGGTTCGCAGCGAGTTGTGGTGTTGGGCGCGCTAGCCACTTTCGCAGGTTGCCAATCCGAGTTCGCAGCGAATGCGTGACTTGTGATGACGCCCAAGGGTATGTGTTTGGCGCGGTGCGAGCTCTGTTCGCTGCGAGTGTGGAGGCTTCATGGGAGTTGGCTCGCGGCTCGATTAAGTGGCTAAATGGTTCGGAAATGGAATGAATGACACGTCTTCTCGAAATTGTAAATGGGACCTAAACAAAATACCAAAAGAGACGCCAAAAATACGACAAAATACAAGAGCACATAACAAAAGCGAAAACACATAAAATACGACAAAATGGACCAGTTAACACTCAAACGAACCTAAAAATGACTCGACTCAAGCACATAAAACACAATAAAATACCACAAAAACATAACAAACACTAGCCAACACACGAGCCCAAACCAGTAGAGGAACAATCGGTCCAAAAAGATTCCAAGTCCAAGAAACGGCTACCGTAAATCTAAAGCACGAATTAACCGTGAATATTGTTAAGATTGAACTATAATAATTTGTTCAACTGATTGTTGAGTTTGATTTTTTTTTATTTTTTTTTCCAAAATAATTCAAGCAATTTATAAATAAATTCGACTTATATCCATATATATATGCCACTCCAAAGATTCCACTGGACAATTAAAATTTATTTTGAGTTTCTAGAAACATAGGCTAATTTACTATTAAAAGTTAAAAGCATGATAAACGTCATGTAACTTTGGTCCTTGAAGTATAAAGAGGTGACATATTTAATCCTATATAATATTTTGTTTCCAAATATTGATCGTTATATTATTCAATATTTATAAAATTCATTGTTTCTCATTTTACTTTATGATGAATAGACATATATTATTTTGATAGTTTATAATGAACGTGTAAACGGGTAGAGTCAAGCCGAACTTATAATACTCGAATTTAGACTCAAAATTTATCAAATCAGCTCAAGCTTGTCAATATTAAAGAGTCAATATTGAATTTTAGTAGTGACTCCAGCTAAAATAAAAATTTAAAAAATAAAGTAAAACTCTATTCTCAACCCTAGCACGAATCGAGCATAATATGCTCGTTAACTGAAGATGCCGGGCCCAACCCAGCCCATCTTCCTCAATATATTATTGGGTTCCATTCATTAAAAACTTAACCAAGCCTCGTTCAATTAAGCTCTTTGGGCTATAACTTGGATCGATTATAGCTGGCTAGTTATAAAATAGAATGTCCCCAATTGCCCCAATATTGTATCTGCGGGAAGCTTGACTTATTTTGGGCTTTCTATTGTTTTGGGCTTTGGTATCCATGCAGATCAAGTTGGGCAAGGCTTTTCTAGTAGTGTCACATGTAGACTTAAAGCAATACAAAAGTTACATGCCAACAAATGTTCTCTAGTCAACTATAGACAAACGTTTACAAACTGATGTGACATGAGACTAATATACCAATAATAAGTACGATAAAATGATTTTTCTTTTCAAAATTGTGCTTCAATTTATAATTCATTCGATTAGATGATTGTCACGTGTATAATTATAAACACATGTTACTCATCCAACTAGTGAAACATATTATAGATATAAATACGTGTTATTAATTCAATATGTGATTTTAAAATACGAAATCTCATTTGAAAACGTGTGATTGGTGAACGCATGTTATGGTTGGCATGTAAAAATGTAAGGCAAATATGATTGGTTTGGTGATTCAACCACAAAAGAACAGTGCTACTACCGTTCGTCTTGGCACACCTAGCAAGGTGTGTCAAGGTAATTTAAAATGAACATGTTACATAATAAAATGAACATATATAAATATGTTTACACATATTCATTTTATTATGTAACATGTTTATTTTAAAAATACCTTGCCACACCTTGCTAAGTGTGTCAGTGCGCACCTAAGTATTTGCGACAAAAAAAGCCACAATTTTGATCTTCATCAAATCATTAACAATTGGCCGCAAAAACAGTGAGCGCCCCACGAATCTCATCTCCTCATTCATTTCCTATTTCATCACAAATATAGAAAAATAGAAAAAGAAAAAAATTACAGACCAAGAAAAAAAAAACCCAAATTCGTTATTAAATCCCTAAATTCCCACCTGAAGAATTCACACAACAGAAACCCCGTTTGATTTTCATCAAGAAAATCTCAGCTACCTTTGATCACCCTCACACTCACGCATTTTGAGTACGGCAAAAATAGAGCGTTGCAGAGCCCGAACGCCGTCGTTCTGACATGCTGGATTTCATATGACATCAGCTGCACGTGAAGGAAACAAGGCCACCGGCGATGCCCTTAACCGTTCTGAGGCTCCGAAACCCTAACCCTAATTCCCCAAAATGTCTTATTCCCCTGAGAAACCCCCGGCCTTCAACCCGGGCAAGACGAAGAAGAAGGCTTGGAGCTGGCCGGAACCCGTTTCCAGCGGCGGCCATGGACCGAACGAGGCTTTGAAGCATGCTGTTCTGAAGATGCGCCTCCAGCCCATTTCCAAGTCCGGGTCCACCACCCCCCACTCGGAGTCTGAGCCCGAGTCCGACTCGTCCAGCTTCAACCCGCCCGCCGCCGCCCCTGATTACATCTCCTTGCTCTCTGATGAATTGCTGCTGAGGGTCTTTGGTAAAATCCCGGACACGAAGCAGCACGTTTCGAATTGCTTGGTCTGCAGGAGGTGGTGTTTGCTCTGCGGGAAATTGGTTCGATCGGTCAGGTTGTTGGACTGGGAGTTTCTCGAGTCGGGAAGGTTGACTTTCCGGTTCCCCAATTTGGTCGACATTGATATTGTGCCAGCCTGTATCAAATCCGAGAGGAATTCAGGGGTTTTGCTGAGCACAAAGTTGTTAGGGGTTTACGTGAATTCATCCGTGTTGGAGTGCAATGGCTTTTTCGTCCAAAAACGAAATGTATTAGATTGTGCAGCTGTTGATGAGGGGTTGAGGATATTATCTAAAGGAGCTCGAAGTTTGAGACGGGCAGTCTTGATTAATTTCACGGAGGAAGGTCTGAGTTGTTTGGCCGAGGAGTGTGAGCTTTTGCAGGAGTTGGAATTGCATTATTGTGGCGATTTTGCTTTGAAGGGGATTCATAAGTGCCGCAATCTGCAGGTATTGAAATTGATCGGGAGATTAAACGGGGTTTATGATTCGACGATTACGGATATTGGGTTGACAATCTTGGCTCAAGAGTGTAGACGGTTAGTGAAGCTCGAGTTGGTGGGTTGCGAGGGGAGTTATGACGGGATTAAAGCGATCGGGGTGTGTTGCCCGATGCTCGAGGAGCTGACACTTGGCGATCATAGAATGGAGGGCGGGTGGTTGTCGGCCCTTCCGTTTTGTGGGAATTTGAAAACTTTAAGAATAGAGTCGTGCAGATTTTTTGATGAGAACCCGGGCCCAGACAAGCATATAGGGTTTAGCCCGATGCTGGAGGAGTTGCATTTGAGTCGGTGTCAAATGCGGGACAAAGGAGGCATTTGGGCTTTGTTTTTGGCGTGCCAGATTATTAGGGAGCTGGTTATCGAGGACTGTTGGGGTCTGGATGATAATATATTTTCTGCTGCAACTGTTTTTAGGTATGAAGCTATGATTCTCTAGATTTTGTGTGCTTTATAACCATGGAGACTGAGCTTTGTTATTCTTGTTATCATCATAAAGTTATAAGTTCTTACAAAGGTTTGGAAGTTAGAGTTTCGAATGCTTGATGTGAGCTACAGATATTTGGTTTTGTTATTGATTATGATATGAGTTAGCACGGTATTAAAATTATTAATGCATTTAGTGCCATTAAGAAAAAAAAAAAAAATGTAGAATTCTATATCTGCTCGCATTAATATTATTAATGTCTTCCTGGAAGTTGAGGGTCCTGTTCTTGTAGTAAATATAGCAACTTTTACTTAACAAATCTATATATACCTCATGGGGAGTAGATCTTTATGTCAATTTGGAATATTACAGTTCTTTACAGGACAATTATTGAATATCTTGATGTTTAGTCTTTGTCCTCTCATCTGTTATTGCATATCATGGTTGATGTGATTTTGTACAAGACGTGCAACTAATCATTTCATGAGCTTTTGTAGAAACTATTAGTTTGGCTCCACATTGTTGGTTCTATTATTGCACCATCCACTTTTACTGTAATGGATATGAAAATTAGAACTTTGTAGAATCTTTTAATGAAAACGTGGTTGAATGAACTGATTGTCTGAAATTCGAGAAATTAACGAGTTCTTTCCTTTTTTTTTTTTGGTATTTTGCTTTTATAGGAGTATAAAGTCTCTTTCACTTGAAGGATGCTCGTTGCTAACAACAGAAGGATTAGAATTAGTGGTTCTTTCTTTGAAGGATCTCCGTAGGCTTAAAGTCATCTCGTGTAACAATGTTAGGGACAGTGAAATAACACCCGAATTGGCCCTTTTGTTTTCCAATCTCAAAGAATTGAAATGGAGGCCCGATTCTAAATCCATGTTAACAGCGGGCCTCATAGGTACAGGAATCGGGCAAAAATGTGGTCGATCGTTGAGAGGAAAGTGAATTTTCAAAAGGTTGTAAGTTTTGAAACTCTGTAATTAGGGGGATATATTTTTTTTTCCAATAATGAGTTGAATGTTGATTGATATTCTCTATGTACTTTTGTTAGTGAAAGTGATTTATTCTCTTGATAATTTAGATAAAACTGTTCTATTTTCCTTTTTCCTATTGATTTTTCGTGTAATAAACTTGATTTTATGTATTATTTAATTTCTCATCTTGTAGTTGTTGATTATTGTTTTTGTAAGTTATTACTGAATGAGTATTTAAGCAAATGTATATGAGAAAAATGATATGCCAGGATAGTTTGGAGAAAGTTTGTGAAGGAGTGTTTGGATGAAAAATTGCATGGTTCTCAACTTATACTGCAAATTTAATGGTTAGAAAAGCATAATTATTCAGCAAATATGCATATATATAAATTTTAAATGTCATACTTTAAAAAAATATATAAAGAAAAAATATGACTATAATATCAGTATATATTTTTATTAGAAATGTATGGTAGGCAGCTGAGGAAAAAATGTGTACAAAAAATGAGCTATATAGCTTGTTTAGGTCTTTGTACATGTTGATATCCGATTTGGGTCACCAATGAGTCAGCAGTCCAAAGCGAGCAAAGACGACCTTAGAACTTGGACCGTACTCGGGTTACCATGAAATGCCGAGCTAACCGGGAAACAAAGTTGATAAGGGCAACAAGTAGATCGACTAACGAGGTCGGCACCTTGCATTCAGGTAACGGAGCCGACCTCACCTGACGCCGAATAGAGAACTGGAACCTCCTAGTGAAGTATTGGTGAAAGTCTGATATGAAGATTCGATTAGATCGACTCTCATGTGAGCATGGGGTCCATAAATAATATAATATAGCCACTTATCAACCATTGATTGCCGACAGGACGTGTCAGCCTAGTCTACCACCCTAGGGCGTCTAGCCCGACAGGAAGACATGTCAGCATTAAATGGCCCACATGTGCCTGACAGGTAATCATTGAAGATACCTCAAATCACATTTAATATCTGTCAGAGCGACGTCGACCTGTCCATCAAAGCTACTGTGCGGCAAGACAAAGTGAGCAGTGAATGAATAGTGCCGAACCAAAGCTACTATAAATAGAATCTCACCATCATTTATGAAGGGTTTTTGAATTTGCCACCAATTTTTTCTCTATCTACAATTACTCCCCCATTCTGTAACAATTTCTCCTGAATACCCAAAGTGTAACAAAAGTGTCGACCTCAATATCAAAGACCGACCTTGTGATTAATAAAAAGAAACTCAATTTTCCCGTACATATTTCTTAATCTTTGTTCTTATCATCGCTAAATTTTAAAAGTTGATCAGATTCTACCATCAATAGTACCATTATAAACTTTATAGCTTGTTTAGGTTTTTGTCTCGTCGTAAATTGTAAATTGGACTAAACTTGAACAAAAGTTTTGAATTATGTATTTATAAATTGTATATTCTTAGTGTGGACGATTATTTAATAACAAAATAAGATAATTACTATTACCTAATAATCTTTAAATGTTAGATACAATTATATTTCAATTAAAAAAGCCAATTAAAAAAAAAAAATCATTTGTTTGTTTCTTATACTCATGCCGCCTCTTCATACGTGGCAACTACTAATTGGTTAAGACCATGTGTCCGTCGCCACGTTGTCACGACAGAAAAACACAACTGTCGAGCACATTTTATATTGATCTAGCAAATAGTTCGAGCTGCAAATCGAAAACCTAGAAAAAAAATCCCAAATCGATTCATAAGCGTGTTCTCAATTACAGGAGATTAAGGTGAGATTCTGATTATCTCCCGCTCATTGTTCTTTGATTTTTCATCTTTCATGTTTTCGATTTGCTCGGATCAGTGGATTTAGTTAGTGATTGGATGGGAATCTTAAATGCCGGCGTGCTGTTTCTGATGAATTTTAGTTTCTACCGTCGATTCGATTATTTAATTTCTTGCAATTAAAACGATTTTGTTGATCTGAATTATGAGATCTGGAAGTTTGTCCCCGGATGAATCTCGGTTAATTATTCTTGTTTTTCCAGTTATCTAAATTTTGTTGTATTCGATCCTATCGGCTGACCTCAACAGGTTTTGTAACTGTTTGATCTCACACTCACATACCCACATTGATGTTTTGATCTAACGGTGACAACCCCGTAAGAGCAGCCGGTAGGATCGACTTTTCTTCCAAGGATATGATTTAGTGGCTATACATTCTTTGAGGTTTATAATTCATCATTAGTCCGTCTGCATAGCTTACTTACAGCTTAAAGATATCAACTTGCATCACATATGGCATAAATTTGATTGAAGAGTGGTAGATATTCATGCATATGTTAATTTGTTGATTCCTAGTTGTTTTAATGTAACTGTCTCATGCCCTGATTAATATAGTGTAAGTTCATATAATTCTTTAAGCTATAAAAAAAAATTCCCGATGGTCTGTCGTTTGTAAATTAGTGGTAGACTTCCAACAACCCTTTCAAACATACTGGAAATTGGATCAGTAGATTGTTTTGTAACGGAAGCATCGTTGCTGTTTTTCATTATAAAGCCACAGCTTATTATCCACTTGGCGTTCCCTTTAGTATGGGCTGAGGGATAATTTTTGGCTTGAAATGCATATGCCATGTTTCCAGTTTTTTAGGGCGTGATTGGATATGAATCCAACCTGTTTTGGTTGGTTAAAGTGAGTTATTTTGAATAAAGTTGATTGAGTTGATGATTTTGGGTTGTAATTAAAGCTGATGCGATGTAAACGTAGGAGAAAGGTTATTGGAAGTGATAGGTAGTTAAAATTATGTGATTAGATGAATAGTGAATTGAAGTTGATGTGATGTGTGAGGATGATTGATTCATACTATTCAATTATATTGATAAAAAGTAGAAGAGTTGTTGAGTTGGATTTTAAATTAGTGTAAAATAACTGAATCTGTCAAAACCGATAAAAATCGGTTATGACTCATATCCAATCGCGGCCTTGTAGTTTATATTCTGTTCCTAGCATGTTCATGATGGTCGCTTGATTTCGCTGTTATTGTCACAATCTTTCAAGTTACATGATGACACATATTTGTAATAAGGTCTGCTTGTTGGTTGGATCTATTTTCCAATAATTTTATTTCTAGCTTCGGTGCAGAAAAAATGGCAACTGGTGGAGGTGCTCCGCAGAGAGGAACTGCAGCTGCTGCCGCCGCTAACCTCCGCCGGAGGCGGACAGCTGGTGGCGGTGGTGCGGCAGGCGGTGGTGCAGGTGGGACCATGCTTCAGTTTTACACAGATGATGCACCTGGGCTCAAGATTTCTCCAAATGTTGTGCTTGTTATGAGCATTGGTTTTATAGCTTTTGTTGCCATTCTCCATGTTGTGGGCAAGCTCTACTTTGTCCGCAAAGAGTAGTAATGCTTTGTTTCGGGCGAACAGGGAAATGATGCCCTTGTTAGGATGTGATGTTTGTGGAGAATATTGCGACTTTTATAGTATGTAATGCGATTTTTGTTTTGATTGAAGTTGAAATTAAAGTACTTGATTTGCTTGTTAGACGAACGAAGGAAAACCTTTGTTTAACAAATTTTGGTTTTTTGTTTTCCTCAAGAGTCATTCATATGCTATCATAGGATGTTGAAAGTGGATGCCATCTTTATCATTTATATGTGACATTTCAATTTTGGATAGCATTCGCAGAGTTGATGATCTCTTTTAAGGCAGCATTTTTCCAGGCTCAGGAGATCTCCTTTCTCTTTCTCTAAAAATTAACACAATAGCATTTTGCCAGGTTTGGAAGAACCCATTACTCATTGGATATTTGAAACGACCAAAACAAAGACTAAATATATTGTAAAATAAGCACTGTATGGTTAAATGGGATGTACCTAGAAACAAGCTCAAACTCAACTCGCTTATATATAGTTAAGGCTGCAAACGAGTCAAGCCCAAACCCTTAACGAGCTAAAAACAAGCTCGAGCTCGGCTCATTTTTCAATATTAACTAGCCGAATCCCTACCTTAAAAGCTGATCTTAAACTTTAACGAGCCAAACTATAAAAGATTATATAAAAATTCTCTTTTCGAGCCTTATCAAGCCGACACCGGCTCGTTTATCAAATGAGCCGAGCCGAGCTCACGAGATGCTCGTTTCATTTCTCAGCTCTACTTATAGTAGCTTAGGTAGTACTCGTCACAAGTGGCAATCATTTGACTTGAAGCAATCCATTATTGTTAAATGGGATATATACAGATGGTCTCAGTATAAAGCACTATATAGTCTGGGCCAGTCAACAGTTGGACCTGTATTTACAACAAATTATTGTCTTAATCATACATAATAGCTTACAGCTACAAACAAGTCTAATGCATATTCTCAGGGATTCCACCTGACACAACACTATCATCTACAGGTTTGGGACCTCCACAAGACCTCGAAACCGACTCAAACAGCTTCTCAATCTCCGGGGCACATCTCGTGAAACTCCTACTCCAAAAGTTGTACCTCGGATTCTGCCATACACACAAAGCAAAAAAAATGAAAAAAAAAA